CCATCTACCATCCACCCACCCACCTACCTACTCATCCATCCACCCACCCACCTACCCAATCACCCATTCATCCATGCATCCATCTATCCATCTGCCCATCCATTCACCAACTATTTCTAAGCACTTGCTATTGGCAAACATTCTATAGGGCACTAGGAATGATAGAGTGAGTAAGGCAAAGTCCCTACCTTCTTGGAGCTGACATTTTAGTGTGGATACAAACAAAACTCAAAGTAATATACAAATACTGTGTCTGGGGGCGCCTGGGTGGCGCAGTCGGTTAAGCGTCCGACTTCAGCCAGGTCACAATCTCGCTGTCCGTGAGTTCGAGCCCCGCGTCAGGCTCTGGGCTGATGGCTCGGAGCCTGGAACCTGTTTCCGATTCTGTGTCTCCCTCTCTCTCTGCCCCTCCCCCGTTCATGCTCTGTCTCTCTCTGTCCCAAAAATAAATAAAAACATTGAAAAAAAAATTAAAAAAAAAAACAACAAATACTGTGTCTGGCACTATAATACTATATACTATACACATGAGATAAAACCCAAAGTGTTCTTTTAGATAGGGTCTAAAGGGAAGGCTTCTGAAGAAATAATACTTTAGCAAAGACCTACATGAAGTAAAGGAGGAAGTCACATGACTATCTGGGGAAGAGCATGCCAGGTAAGAAGAAGAGAGATGCAAAAGCTCTGAGGCAAGAATCGACCAGTACCTTAGAGCAATAGGAGGAGGTCCGTGAGGAGGGAATACAGGAAGTCAGCAACAAATGATGGCAGCTTAAAGAGCGACTCTCTTCTAGGGCTTTGAAAAATGTCTTAGGCTGACATTTATTAAGAGCTTATTATATATCAGACTTTGTTTTAAAGACTTTAGATATATTAACTTATTTATTTCTCACAAAAGAACAGTAGATAGATACACAGATAGATCATCATCCCTATTTTATAAATGAAGAAATGGCACCAACATTAAACAGCTTGGCCAAGCACATGCCTAGTAAGTGATGGAGCCCAGATTCACACCCCAAGCACACTACATAACCAGTAACCACAAAAATTGAATAGAGCCTCAATTTTGGTTAGTGCACACAATAACAACTGTACCGCTCCCTCATGTGCTCCTCCCCAAGCACTTCAAGGAACAGCAAGTATTCATTCATTCACTCAACAAAGGGAGGTGTTTGTTAGCCTCACTGTGTACACATAAGAGTACTGGGTGCACAGGAAAAACAGGAAGACAATTTTGTCAGGAAGGCAGGAAATCGAAGAGGCAATAACTGGGTACTTAAAGCCATGAAGGAGAGAAGAACAGGATGTTATGAAGACACGGAAGAGGACACATATCCATGCTTGAATGGGTCAGGAGTTGCAGAAGCCTTGCTAGAGAAAGGCGACCTGGGGTTAGGTCATCCTATGCCCCAGGGGACAGGCTGTAAAAAAGTCTCTTCCTCTTCTTTTCTGGAAAAAACCTTGCGTGCAGCAAGCCTCATTGTTGACCTATCAGTATGTAGCACTCACCAATAAGTCCATTTTTTACTGTTCACTAATCACTAACCACTATTACTCCCCTTCACTAAACATGCCTGCTTTCCTCCTACCCTCCTGCCCATCCCTACCCCCAGCTGGGCTGTCAAGTGTTGGAGCAGCTAAAAAGGGACTCCTTTCCTTTGGGGAAGGGCTTTAGTCACTGATGGCAAGAGGATTTCAGATGTGACAGCATCTTTTGCAAGCCCCCTGAAGTCACAGGATGAGGGCAGCTCATGATGAGGATGAAGAGGGGGTTGGGGAAGGCCATGCCTACTCATCAAGCTGGTCCTGGAAGAAAGACAAACAGGCAGGAAGGAACCACGAGGCCTTGGAAGCACAAGAAAGGAAAAACGACAGCAGAGTCCAGGAGAACCCCCTTGGTCTGGCCAGCCCAGAGGCCTTCTATGCCAACAGTAAATCCTGGGGTGCTGCAGCCCACAAACCCTGGCCCTTACTTTCTTCCTCGGAGAGGAAAAAAAAAAAAAGGTAAGGAAGTGGGTAGCTCTTAGAAGACTGTTATGATTTCAAAGTAAAAAGGAGTTGTTTTTGAAGTCTGCCCAGAGATACAGCCAGGTCCCAAGGGGCTGCATTTGCGGTTCCAGTAAAAGGAGCGATGTTGACATGGAATTCTTGGATTGGCCTCATTTCATGAAAAACAAGCTGCCAAACCAAATGGGAAATGGAGTTCAGCAGAGAAGTATGTGCTGACTCCCCTCCCCCTCACCAAACTTGGCTTCCGACAACAATCAGCACACGACTTACGTTCTCTAACCAGAGTTCTAGCATCAGGGAATTTTGCTGGCAGATCCCTGGGTTCACAGGACATACGGTTTGCTCCTGATGGGCTCTTTCTTCCCAGCACAGTCAGCCTGTGCCCATTCCCTGTCACTTCTCAAACTTCCTGTTCTTTAATGGGAAAAAAAAAAAAAAAAAAAGCTAGGCAGAGAAATGATTGGAACCAGACCAGTGGCCCCAAGAAGGTGTCCAAGAATCCAGAGATATCTAAAGAAGTTTCATACTTGTAGTTCCTACTCACCATGTCCCAGGGTAGAATATCTGCCACTTTTCACAGTCTGCTTCCATGGTTAGAAGTCAGGCCAGCTTCCTGTGCATCAATCACTGGAGATGGAAGATTAATTCCATTCCTACTTTATCAACCTCCCGGCTCTGTGACCTTGGACAACTCGCTTAACCTCTTTATGCCTTGGTTCCTTCAGCTGTCAAATGGAGATAAAAAATCTATATTGTAAGGTTCCTATGAAGATTAAATAAAAGCATGAATACAAAATGCTAAGGCATAGTGTTCATGCACATAAGCCCTCAATACATTGTAATGGTTCTTTTTTATTATTAATATCAGTCAATGTAATTAGTTAAGATTCTTTTGAATATAAAAAGTAAAACGAGGACTGAAATCTATGTCAAGAAAAAGATAGTGTGGGAGAGGTAGAGTGGCAGGTGAGAATTATAAGGATACAAGTAATCTTATGGAACATGGGCAAGAGGATTCCAATATGTGAATTGGAATTAGGAATGCAAACTGAGAACTAAGACTTCGTATTCTCTATCCTAGTGCGTCTCTTAGACCAGTGCCATCCAATAGAACTATCTGTAATGATGGAAATGTTCTAGATCTATGCAGTGCAACTGAGGAACTAAATTTTAAATTTCTAATGTTATTTAAATAAATTAATTTAACTTTAAAAAACTAAACCAATCAAATAAAATTATTATTTGAATAGAATTAAATAGCCCCATGCAGCTACCAAACTTGACAGCATAGTTCTAAACTTTGCTTCTCTCTCTCACGCACACATGTGCACCCCACCCAGCTTCCTCTGAATCCCACCCCTCCCCCCACGTGGTCAGCCCCAGTCATTGGATCTACCTTTACTGTTTCACCTCCCAGCCCAGGGCCCACTTACGACTGACAACCATGCCTCTGCTTTTGGGTTCCAAATCCTGGGAGAGTAATTTGATCACTTATCTTTTCATGCCATGCTGCAAGGTAAAGGTCACTCTGTAGAAAACCCTTTTGGGTCAGGGTTCACTGCTGAGCCATGGGTCATGGAATCTTACACTCTCTCCACAAGGGCTGGGTGGGGATTCCCCCAGGAGGGGCTGGGTGGGTACCCCGTGACTTTTGTCTGAAGGTGACAGTGATCCAGTGTTTGGCTTCGATGCCTCAGCCAGGCCCAGGAACTGGATAGCTGGGAGAGGAAGTATGACGAGGCCTTTCCCGGGCTTCTGTAGTGATTCAGTCCCTGTTTGTGAGGAAAGCCCAAAGGTCCTGCGTTAAGTCTCGAAGCTGGGAGGAAGCAGATAAAGAAGGAGCAGCCTCTGCCCAGTGCGCCCTGCTGATCCACACCCAAGCCTGGGGGTGCTCCTAGTGAGGCTGGATGATGATGAATGACTAAAGACTTGAAAACACCAGGTTTGACAAAAAATGTTTTGTTTTCCTCCAGATTCCTGGAGGTGCAGAGATGCAGATTAACGTTAGTAAGAGAGAACAATGGCAGACTTGGGGAACTCTTGTGTCATTGTGAAGTCTTAGCTTCACCCTGTTGATTGAGCTTGACAAGCTTTCTCGGTCAAGCAACTGACCAGGGCTGGCAAACAGCTGCTATGTCTGGGCTTTGTTTTTAGGCCTTTTAATTGGTTTGTCTGAGTCTTTGAATACATGGAATCAATGGGTTGTTTAACTTATTAATCAAACATCAAACATTATTAAAGGGACAGCGACATGCCCCCAACTGCGCTTGTCTTTGTAGAAGATGATAATAGGATCCTCCGTGAAAACTGGGCGTGATAACCCCCACCTCTCCTGGCTGTTTTGAGGAAGAGGCTGTGATGAGGTGATGGGAGCACAGAAGTGAGCCTGAGCAGGAGGGGGATGTGGGTCCTCATCCCTGCTCCCCGGGGCCCAGTCCACCCTCCAGGCCACAGCCAGAGGGATTGGGTGTGTGAATATGCACGAAGGCTACTCTCCTACTAAAAGCCTTCAATGGGTCCCCATCACACTTGGAATAAAATCCCAGCTCTGACCTGTAAGACCGCCTGCTCTGGGCCCTCACCAACCTCTCAGACCCCATCTTCTGTGGCTCTTCCCCCTGGCTCACCCCACCTGACCACACAGGCCTCCCACTGCATTTCCACATGAAACTCAGTCTTGCCTTAGGATGTCTGCTTTGACAGGTCCCTCCTGGAATGATCTTCTCCCAGATTTTTTTTTTCTTTCCTTTTTGTGTGGCTGGATCTTCTTGATATTCGCAACACGTCCTCAGAGAGGTCTTTCTTGATTATCCAATTTAAAGTATCTCCCCTGTCACTCTCAGTCCTTCCCACCTGGCCATAGTATTTATCCTTCACTACCTGACATTTTCTAGGTTGTTGTTATTTGTTGACTTTCTGTCTTGCCCAATTAAAATAACCTCTTCAATATAAGAAATTATTCAGGTGAGAATTTGCCTTGTTAGCCTCATATGTTTGCAACTCCCGGGACTATACAAAGCACCTCTCGGTTCTCGGTTATGGTTTGGTGAGAAAATGATTGACTTAGAGGATTAACTGTATAGGTTAGCGGTTTTGCAAAGATCTAGGGTTTTATGTTGTGCTTAGCTGTATGGTCTAGCTATTAATTGAATTTAATTTTTAGCACACCTAAGGGACTAACCCTCTAACTTCCCTGATTGTAGGTTTTGGATCTTTCTGGGCTCCATTTCCTCTGCTATAAGTGTGTATTCCCTTATCACTAACCTAATGTGGCTATTCAGAAGTGTGCCTAATTCACTTTTTCGAAATGCTTTGAAAAGACTCATTCTGGGTTGAGTACAAATCCATACGTATTCCCAGATACTCGCGTGAATAATATCTAGTTGACCCCTGAACTTGAACATTTGGATGTTTTGGGCAGGTTCCACCAACTGAGTGTGTCTGAACTGAGATCAGCATCTTCCATGTTCCTCCTCAAACCCACTCTTCCTCCTCTGTTCTCTGCCTCCAAGAATGGTTCAGTCATCCTTCCAGGGTAATAGCCAGAAATCTGGGCCTACTCCACAACACCCACTTCTCCCTCTGCCTTCATGTTGAATCAATTGATTCTACCCCCGGTTATTTGAATCTGTCCAAATCTGTCTTCTTGTGTCCATCCCCACAACCCCTACCACAGTGCAGGCCCCTTTGATATCTTGCTTTGATTACTGAAACAGCTTCCTTATCGGCCTCTTTGGTTCTATTCTCCCATCTCCAGTCCATTCACCATCCCACAAACACTCTTAGTTAAAAATCAAGTCACAGCATCTTCCCTTCACTGGTTCTCCATTGCCCCTGAATGAAAGTCAAAGCCCCTTAACATGACCCCTAAGGCCTTGACATTGCTTACGTCACCAGCCTCACTTCTTGCAACTTCCTTCCCTCCTCTATCCCTGACTCTTTCTGTTCCCCAAACTCTGTGTGTGTATCCCCTTCAGTGCTGGTGTCTGTGCTGTTTTCTCTGCCCAGAACATTCTTGCCCTTTACCTTGGCTGAATGCCTAATCGCTCCTTCAATCCTGTGTGTGTGTCAGGACTTCAGGTCCCCAGGTCTGAGATAGGTGTTGCTCTTCAACACACCATAAATGACTGCTGTTACTAATTGCTGCTGCTACTACAACTACCACTAGTAGTAGTAGTATTAATGAAACTAAGAGGAGTATTGGTTAGAATATAAGACACTGCCTGCGGCGCAGACAAGATCAAAGTATATTCCTTTCTCCTCTAAGAGACAAGATCGGGGGGTGAGGCGGCAGGTCATGTGTCCTTCGATCTTATTGTTTCACTAACCTGAAGGACGGCCCTTGCTGGCATGGCTCCAGATGGCTCAGCACCGTATGTGATATCCCAGCTATCCAGCCAGTATGGTGGTTGCCATGGGCTGAATGTTTGTGCCCCCCACAATTCATATGTTGAAATCCTAATCCCCAGTGTGATGGTATCTGGAGATGGGGCTTGGGGGAGGTAATTAGATCATGAGAGTAAGACCCCTCATGATGGGATTAGTGCCCTCATAAGAAGAAACACAGGAGCACCACCCCTCCCTGCCTCCCTCCTTCCCTCTCTCACCACAGCATGTAAGGATACAATGGCCAGCAGCCTGTAAACCCAAAAGACAGCCTTCACTGAGAGCCCAGGCATGCTGGCACCTTGATCTCTTATTTCTAGCCTCCAGAATTGTGAGAAATAGAGATTTGTTGCTTAAGCCATGCAGTCCATGGTATTCTCTTACAGCAGCCACAGCTAAGACAGTGCTAGAAGAAGAGAGCAGGCCCCTTCTCTCTGGCATCCTAAGGGCGTCACCTGGGGGTAATTGCATGATTACAACAGAGGAAGAGAACAGACAACACAACTTGCCAGTGTTTACAGAGCACCACGCTAAGTAAATGCTTTTTCTCATTTGACTGTCTCAACCGCGTTATGGGGGTAAATGCTGTTATTATCCTCCCTCTCATTTTTAAGCAAAGGATGTTTTATCAACAAGCCAACTTTGAAAATCTGAGAAATAATATGAAGAGCCAGCCAGCCTGGCACAGCATGTGATGGCAGCTCCTTCTCAGAAAAGGTTCCATGTGATGTGCCCATGACTTTTATATTTGTTAACAAACACAGCGAGAAATTCCAGCACTTTCTGTTCTTGTGTAGCTATTATTTCAAGTTAGGTCTATGTTTATCAAAGTTATATGTGCATGTAGTTAAACAATCAGAAGATGCTTTGATATGAAAGACGGTAACTATCTTCCTGTTTCCCATTGTTTCCCCAAATGTCCATAGTGCAGCTTCCCATGGTCCAGCAGCAACCATTTCAGCACTTTATTTACTCTCTTTACTCCACCTCTCTCACCAATGTACCTATATTGTTACTCTGATTTCTCGGGTTTAGGCACGATCTCTTGATTCCCTACCACTAGAAGATGAGGATTTGGCTCTGACATCTACCCCTGTCCCACGTACAACGTATACACATACATTCTCCCTGTTCTCCTGCCTTCCCAGTATAGATTCCGCTTCCTTTTAGCCAGGTCAGCATTTTCATAGCTGTGTCATCTAGCACACTTGATTTTTCACTTTGCCTCCACAATTTTTTATTTCCCTGGTAATCATTTTCTTGTATTTTTAGCTTGCTTCATTTTCTGTGTACTTACCTCCAATTCAGCCTCAAAACTGTCCACAGTTGCATAA